GTTGCCGGGGCAGCCGGGCCCGGGGTCGCCGGAGCGGCCGAGCCTGGGGCAGCTGGGCCCGCGGCCGCGGAACCCGGTGTCGCGGGGGCTGCTGCTGCACCCGCCGTGGCCCCGGGGGCTGCGGACGAAGTAGGGATGAATATCGTGAGAGAGGAAATGGGGACTGTAGAGAGTGTGGTGAGTGTGAGAGGGGAAAACAGGTGGAAACAGGTAAACTGGTGGGAGATGATGTAGCAGACAGGTGAAGACCGGGGCTGTGGGGCAGGTGGAGGCTGTTGGCACACAGCAGGAGCTGCCGTCTGGCTCTGGGGCGGCAAAAAGAGCTTCACAGGCTCAGGCTGCAGACAGTAATGAGGTGACAGAGATGGACACAGACGGTTGAGGGGGATTCTTGACTGTGTTCAGTTGCAGATAGTCTCTCTCAGAACGCAGAGATATATTCTTGGAAGAGATTAATGGTCTTTTTAGAGGAAGTCTTTTGGCAATGCAGTGGAAGTGAGAGACTTTTTCCCTGACACTAACAAGTTTCTTCATACAGTGAGCACCCTTCAGAAAGTTGTAGTGTATAGACCTGCTGGATGAAAAGAAAGAACGCTATCGTCTCAGGAAGCATGTAACTGCTATGAAAAAGGTACGAAAGAAAGCAAAAGAGGGAGGAAACTGAAAAGGGTTAAATAAAATGTCAACATGATCATGCAACACTGGGTGTCTCCTCTCTGCTGTGTGTACCTGGCTGTTCTTTCTCTCTGTCTCCTTCCTCTAATGCAGGCTTTAAGGGTTGCTTCTTTAAACATGAACGGGGGTAGAAGTGCACAGAAAAGAGCTTTAGTGTTAGAGGTCTTTAATTCAGAAAAAATTAGATGTGATATTTCTGCAGGAAACGCACAGTGATAGCCTGAATGAGACAGGACTGGGGATGTGGTGGGGGGGTCAGTATGTACTCAGTCATGGCTCAAACCTTAGTGCTGGAGTAGCTGTTTTTTTCTCCCCCTCTCTAAATGTTAAGATTCTATCCAGCACAGAGATAGTGGCAGGTAGAGCCTTGATGGTGAAAGTGGAACTGTTAGAGTTCTTTTTCACTTTTATTAATGTTTATGCACCCAATCAGGGCCCTGCACGTGTATCTGTGTTTCAGTTATTAAAAGACAAGCTAGACACTAGTGTACAGGGGGAGTGTGTTATACTGGGGGGGGACTGGAACGTTTGCACTAATGTCACTTTAGACAGAATAGGACGGGAGCCGCATCCTCAGTCGTCCCTTTTACTGTCACAGGTGATAAGAGAGGCTGACTTAGTGGATGTGTGGAGGATGAAACACCCCTCTGTTAAACAATACACCTGGATGAGAATGCTAGATGGTGGCGTCAGTGCAGCCAGGCTAGACAGATTTTACATGTCTGCTTCTTTTATTACTCGTGCAGTGAACTGTCACATCCAACCTGTTGGTTTTACAGATCATCAGCTAGTTTCTTTAGATTTGGTTTTATCCAACACAGAGAAACCTCGATCGTTCTGGCAGTTTAATGTAAACATTTTACAAGATTTGATTTTCTGTGAGAATTTTAATTTTTTTTGGATCAACTGGAAATCAAAGAAAGAGTCTTTTCCCTCCCTGAGTCAGTGGTGGGAGGTAGGAAAGGCTCAGATTAGAGTGTTCTGCCAACAGTATACAGCCTACTCCACTGCCAACATTAGGAGAGCTATAGAGCAGTTAGAGAGGGAGATCAGAGAGTTAGAGAGTGTGTCTGCTCGAAATATAGAACAGTCCCTCCTAAAACAGGAGAAAGCCAAGGGAGCTCTGATCAGAGCCCGTTTTACTTCCATGAGAGACATTGATGCACCAACCACCTTTTTTTTCAATCTGGAGAGGTCTGTGGGCCAAAGGAAGCAGATGGTGTGTCTGCGTCTCCCCGATGGACAGGTAACCTCTGAACCTGCCGAGATGAGGAGGCATGCAGTGTCCTTCTAAACGGACATGTTCAAAGCTGAAGGTTGTGACGTAGAAGCTGCTGATGAACTTCTTCAGGGTCTTCCACAGCTGGGTCCAGCCGAAAGTGACACCCTGGGCTCTGACATTACGCTGGAGGAACTGACCTCTGCGGTGACATAGATGGCCTCCGGCAAGGCTCCGGGCATAGACGGTTTACCTGCAGACTTTTTTAAACATTTTTGGAGTATTCTAGGACATGACTTGTTGGACGTATTGATGGAGTCCTTTGGGAAAGGGCTTCTTCCAGCTTCCTGTAGGCATGCAGTGATTTCACTGTTGCCTAAGAAAGGAGATTTAACCCTGCTGAAGAATTGGAGACCCGTGGCTCTCTTATGTACGGACTATAAGATACTGTCAAAGGTTTTAGCTAACAGACTGAAGTGTTTTATCGAACTTCTTATTGGTAGTGATCAGACGTATTGCATCCCTGGCAGATCAATCGTGGACAATTTGTTTTTGATGAGAGACACTTTTGATGTTTGCAAACTGTATAATATAAATGTTGGTATTATTTCTATTGACCAGGAGAAGGCGTTTGATCGTGTGGATCACACTTTTCTGGCTGCCACATTGCAGGCTTTTGGTGTTGGGGAGCATTTTTTGTCCTGGGTGAAGTGTTTGTACAGTGATGCATGTTGTGTTGTGAAGGTAGGGGGAGGGCTGAGCAGACCTGTACCAGTTAAAAGGGGGATCAGGCAGGGCTGCCCTATCTCAGGCCTATTATACAGTATTGCCATCGAGCCCCTTTTGTGCAGACTTAGAAACAGGTTGACGGGCCTGTGTCTGCCAGAGTCAGCTCAGGCCCCCCCGGTGGTTGTATCAGCTTATGCTGATGATGTCAGTGTTTTTGTCCAGGGTCAGCGAGATATCCAGGAGCTACAGGACAGTTTAGCTTTGTATAGGAAGGCTGCTTCAGCCAAAGTTAATTGGGAGAAGAGTGAGGCAGTCTTGGTAGGTCAGTGGAGTGTAGAAAATAGGCCCAGCCTTCCTGGTAACCTCAGCTGGGGAAACAAGGGTTTAAAGGTCCTGGGAGTTTGGTTGGGGTCTGAGGACATGGTGGCACAGAACTGGGAGGGATTGCTGGGAAAGGTGCAAGCAAAATTAGCCAACTGGAGATGGCTGCTACCCCAGCTGTCCTACAGGGGAAGAGTTCTTGTCACCAACAATCTGGTTGCCTCGTCTCTGTGGCACAGACTCCAGGTGTTAACCCCACCGCCGGGCCTCATGAAACAACTGCAGCGGCTCCTCGTGGATTTCTTCTGGTCGGGTCATCACTGGGTGCCAGCATCGGTCCTGTACCTGCCTGTGGCGGAGGGGGGGCAGGGCCTCGTGGACATTACTGCAAGGACTGCTGCTTTTAGACTGCAGGCAGCTCAGCGGCTGCTGTATGGTGCCTCTCCCTGCTGGCTGGCTATGGCCCGGCTGTTGCTCTGGAGGGCAGGGGGCTTTGGTTTTGATAAACACCTGTTTCTGCTGAAGGCCCCTGCATACAAGATAACTGGACTTACACCTTTTTACTGCTCAGTCATCAATGCCTGGAAGATTCTGAGTTTTACCAGACCACCTGACCCCCAGCCTGGGATGTGGCTGTTTGAGGAGCCACTGTTTGACACTGGTTTTCTTTCAGGAACCTTTTTCTCTTCAGCCACCCTAAAGAACGCGTTCATTGAAGCGGGAGTGGTAAAACTTGGCCATTTGACGGGGGTCTCCACAGAAAAACTGGCTGAGGTGACGGGCATTCGATCAGCCCGAGTTCTGGAGACTTTGGTAGATGAGGTGTGGCAGTCGCTGTCGCCATCGCACCGGACTTTTGCTCTGGATGCAGATCTGGCTGACCAGTGGAGAAAGGGACACGAGTATGTCTTTCCTGCCCTGAGTGTGGGTCCTGCGGTGGGGGAATGGAGAGAGGAGGATGGTCTCCTGCTATCACTGGGGACTCTAACACCTGGAACGTTCAGCTCCTGCAATGGGAAGAAGCTATACCTTAGCTGCGTAAAGGTGCTAAACCTCAGCTCGCTCGCAGGCGGTCAGAGAGTCGAAGTGGACGGATGTGTTTGGCTTGGGCTTTTCCCTCAGGGCAGCTGGAGGATCCTGTATAAATCTCCGGTTGAGAAACGGATGGCTGACATCCAATGGAGAATTGTACACGGTGCAATAGCCACTAATAAATATAGAGCTCATTTTGACTCGGGCACAAGGGGGGGCTGTCCGTTCTGTTTTATGGCAGAAACACTGGAGCATTTAGTGGTGTCCTGTCCCCGATTGGCTGGTCTTAAAAAAATGTTACAGGAGTGGGTGGAAGGGTTCGGGGAGGTTTTCTCCATACCACTTTTTGTCTATGGCCCCAAATACATCCTGAAGAAGAAGAAAACCCTACTATTGATAAATTTCTTGTTTGCTAATGCAAAATTAGCAATCTGGAAAAGTAGGAAGAACCAACTTGCTGGAGTGGGATGGACGGATGTAGTGCTCTGTCTGAGGGGGCTGGTGGCAGCGCGTCTGAGGGTGGAGCATGTGTACTATACGCTGATCAATCATCTGCAGGGGTTTCTGGATGTGTGGGCTGTTGGGCAGGTTCTGTGCTCACTGGGGGAGAATGACTCTCTAATATTGAAGTTTTGAAGGATAGGTGTAGTTTTTGTTTTTAAAGAGTGTAAATGTAAAGGATGTTTTTTTTAAATAGGTAAAATGCTTTTCAGATGATGTTTGTTTGGTAGTCATGAAAATGTGGTTATTTATTTGATTATGTAATGTATTAGGTTTGTCCTGGTGTATGTTTAAAACAAATGTAAATAAAATTTGTTTTAAAAATCAAATCTTCTTCTTCTTCTTCTTCTTCTTCTTCTTCTTCTCCAGGTAGGCATCGTGCTGGTCTTCGTCCGAGTCGCTGTACTCGTCGATCTTACCCTTCATGCCCTCCTTGAAGCCTCTGTTCTTGACGTTGAGCTTCTTGGCATTTACAAAGTCAAACAGTTCATCGTATTCTTCTCTCTCAATGCTGCCAAAGGTGAACTGATTTCCCTGCTGGATCTCTGAGTGAGGAAGAGTCTCCTCGTCTTCCTCCTCCTTTGACACAGACGAAGGGGGATCAGGCAGTGAGACCACCTGTTCAACAACACTTTTCCTACACTCCGAAACAGGCAGGTCAGTAGACATCCTACGGCTCTGCGCACGCGTAAAAGTACAAACTGGAAACACCCTTGGAAATTGCAAACCGCTCTCATCTGGCTCCACAGATGCCAACGGTCTGGAAACCACCACAGACGGTGGCACACCAGCCCACACAGCACTACCAGCGAGATCGTTGCCCAAAATCATCTGTACCCCATCAATTGGCAACGCGGGACGCACGCCGATAGACACAACCCCCCGCACCAACTCACAATCCAGCACTATTGTATGACGTGACACGGGAATCAAGCCCATCTCCATGCCCCTCATCAACACAAAATCCCCAGTTTCTGTCTCTGACGAAAAAGGCAACACTGACTCAACAATAAATGAGTATCTAGCTGCTGTGTCACGCAACACCTTAATCGGAACATACTTGTCACTACCGACTACTGACACAACGGCTTCCGTTATGAACGGCTCAAAACCAGAAGCCACATCCAAGTCGGCACAAACCAGCTTCTTATCAGGCACCATGCCCGATCCTACACCCTGTGGCTTTTTAAGGCGAGACACGGCAGGCAAAAACATCATTTTTCCTGCACTGGTCAATTTTGAGATGTTGTGCTATTTTGATTCCATAACATGTTTTCTTTCAGGCTTTTGGAAGGAAAACGTACAAAATACACATTTAAGTGTTTATTTTACTATAGTTTGTCTATTTGCGTCTGTAGATTTCTCCTACATTCACCAAAAGTTAGCATTCTAACGTAACATAAAGTACCGCGACCGCTGTTTGCACCATGTTTTCAGAGGTATCGTTGGAAAGCTCCGTTTCTCCTGCACAATCTCATTGGATCCAAATATGGTCATTTCCTTTGTATCAGCAACCAATCGTGAAAGTGCAAAGGGGTCTTAAACCAAGAAACAAAATCTCATTGGCTGGTGTCAATTTCTGACAACGTGATTCGTTCAGATGCGTCACGTGGTGTGCTAAAGCACTTCCTGGTTAGCTTTCCGCTCGAAATTTAAATCTGAAAATGGCAAAATAACGGAGAAAAAAACGTTCACAGAGAAGACGACAACAATTGTCACTTGCACAAAGCAAGGTTATACAAAAAACAAATGACCCCGAACATGAAATACCTTCACGGAGTGCGTCGATGTGCAAGCTATCATCCAGATAACAGGAGGGTTTAGCAAGCGTCACACTGCAATCTTTAAAGGTCGTTTTCTCAAAATGAGTTTTTTCTCCTACTCTGAGTTCGAAATTTCCACTTCAGTAGCAGTTACATACACCAAACCTTCCAGTTATATTCCTATCAATATTATGAAGGCTTTTACAGAAGGGTTTGGTCATATATAATTCATAGCCTGAATTATATAACATTTTATACCTAAAAACATGGTGAAAATTGATATTTTAGGGCTGTTGACAGTATTTTCTGATTTATGGAGTGATACAAAGAGATATCCAAAATCCCTTATGTAAAAGCCTTAGATACTAATATGACTACAAAATGAAACAATCATTTTGATCCTGGCTTTATCCAAAGTTCAGATTTCGGTTCCTGAAATGTGTTAAAATATGCGCATATTTCATGAGATAATGGTTCATTTGGATATTTAAACATGCTATTTCAGAAAACTTGTAATACAAAAAACAATTGCCTTATTATAAGTAATTAACTGGAGAGTTTTTTAGTTGATATCTTTAAGTTAAAAGCAATTACCCTATTCACCTGGGGTGTCTCGCCTTAACCAAAACGGAAGAACTTCTGAACCTTTGACGATACGCTTCAGGAACCAGTTCGTATGATTTTAACACTGCTGATTTTACTCTAGCATAGTCCAAAGCATTTTCGCCACAAACAGCTGAATAGGCCTCCTGTGCTCGCCCAGTGAGTACACACTGAAGTAACAGCACTCTGTCCGAATCTGACCAGTTTCTTGCCCCTGCTATGCGTTCAAACAGAGTAAAAAAAATGTCAGGGTCACGCTCATTAAACTTTGGCACTAACCGCAAGTAAGAAATAATATCGCCACTACTTCATGCCGACCTATCAGAACCATCCTCCACCGGAGAAAGCTTGCCCTCTCCAATCAGCCGTAATCTAGCATGTTCCACCTCACATTTCATCCTCTCCACCTCCAGCACCTGCTGACCCCTCAACTCCAACTGCAACCTCTCCTGATTAAACTGCATGGCCAAAAGCTCCTTTTGCTGCTCGAACGTCAAACCAGCTGTCTGAACCACTACCGGCACGACCCCTGCAGCACCAGCCTCACTCTTCTGCAACACCCCCTGCTCAAACAAAGATGATATGATGACAGCCTTAATCTCATGTTTCCGTTTGCTCCCTACAACAGCAATTTCATAATGCTCTGCAATTTCGACCAACTGCGCCTTCTTGCAATCGTCTAAGAAAGACACTGAGGGTGCATCCACAAACGCCGACAAAGAAGCCATAATATATTACCTATTGTAGTGCCGAGAGAAGGGAGACGGAGGCGGTGCATCGGAGGTGCAAATCTCTCTTTATTGGGGAGCAGAAATCGACATGCTGTCGGGTCGAAGGCACAGGAGACAAGAGAAAGTGAAAGGGGGAACACACAGTAGGTACACAGTAGGTACCGTCAACACATGTGTCCGTGCGGAAACAATACCCCCAACCTGTAGTTCCATGATTGGATTATGTAACCCCAGTGTATGAATCAGTGATCACTACCCCCCCAGAATTCAACCATGGACACAATCCTCGCGTCCGGGAGGAAGCACCACAGGGGCCGAGGAGGGCGGGCCGAGGAGGGCGGGCCATGGAACGGGCCGTCGGAAGGGGGCCGCAGGAGAGGGTAGGGGCCCCAACGAAGGCGAGGGCATCCCCATCGGAGGGCGGGTGGCGGGCCGGAACGGGCCGTCGTCAGGGGGCCGCAGAAAGCAGGGTCGCGTCGTGGGGACAGGCGTGAAACACCCGGAGGTCCCCAGCAGGGAGGAGCGCCGCCCGGCCGCTGGCGAAGGCAAAGCGGCGGCGGGCACGAAGTCCTCGGGAGGAGGGAGCCGTGTCCCCGGGAGGAGGGAGCCGTGGACAGGGGAGAGGCCAGACGGGGCGCCGCCGAGGCGAACCGTGAGCCGCGGTTAGAGGAGAGGCCAGGCAGGGTCCCGAAGCGCGCCACCCGCAGGCCGATGAAGGCACGGGCGACGTCCGGAACCGCCGAGGCGAGGGAAGAGGCGAGACGGGGTCCAGAAGCGCGTCACCCACGGGCCGAAGCAGGCGTGTGTGACGTCCGAAACCGCTGTCGAGGTGGTGATAAAGCGAGAGGGTCCACACGAGGCCGACCAGACATGGTCGAACCTCCTCTCAGACACCAGAAAAAGCTCAAAAATGGTCGTCCCGTCCACGATCAAAAACAGGTGGGCGAAATTGTGAGAGGATCCACGCGAGGCCGACCAGACTCGATCGAACCTCCTCTCCGGCACCACAAAAAACAAAACAAAAATAAAAAACAGTCGGATGTCGACCGCTAGCTGCTGTGGCTAGCCGTTGTTAGCAGTCGTCGTTAGCCGTAGGTAGCAGCTAGCCGTTAGCAGTCGTGGCTATCCGGTCTCGACGGCCGGTAGTCGCTGGCCGGACACGCAGCCGCATGTCCCGAATAAACTCGGCACGGTCGTGTACCAGCTCCATGGAAGGCTTGCAGTCCCCCAGAGCCGAAAAGCCGTGGAAATGGCGAGCGTCGTCCGCGTCCATCCCGTGGGGCGCACCGAGCCACAGTCCGAGCGCACGAGGCAGCTACGGAGGTCTCCAAAAATCCCCGGCATTTCGAGAAAAGCTGTGCTTTTTGCCATGTTCGAGTCAGTCTCGGATCCTTCGCGAGACTTATGTCAGGGTCACCAATGTAGTGCCGAGAGAAGGGAGACGGAGGCGGTGCATCGGAGGTGCAAATCTCTCTTTATTGGGGAGCAGAAATCGACATGCTGTCGGGTCGAAGGCACAGGAGACAAGAGAAAGTGAAAGGGGGAACACACAGTAGGTACACAGTAGGTACCGTCAACACATGTGTCCGTGCGGAAACAATACCCCCAACCTGTAGTTCCATGATTGGATTATGTAACCCCAGTGTATGAATCAGTGATCACTACACTATAACCAATCAGAAAGCAAAGTATTAACCTGCCAACACGCATTGGCAAAAGACAAAACCCAACAGAGAATTTCCCCCTCACTGCCTAACCAAAATCTTGCTAATCTCACCTAGTCTTCATGTGGCTTGCGGCGGGTAATTACGCACTGGAAGTTATGGAGCGACCTGCACGCAGGCAACACCACAAAATCACGCGGACGTGCCCCAGAGACAGCTGTCCGAAAACAGCTGACACTAACCACGTCGCCACAACACTATGAAAAAAACAAACAGACGCAACCCAAGGGGAAACGCCACTTAAGCCTAGCGGGAAAAATCTCTTTACAAAAGCGTAACAAACAGCAACATCTTACCTTCTGATTGGCACACAAAACCTGACGACATGTCAAACACTAAAGCTTCCTGAAACACAAAAGACATGATGTGTCCCCCAAATAGCAGCGCCAAGCCAGCACACAGCTGGACCACATCAACTAATTAGCTGCTCAATGACACCATGTGCTCTGAGCACTACACAAACTTTTAACCAAATAACATCCCGGACGAGCCCCGATTTGTTACGACCCGGCTCAAAAGGCCACAACAAAGAGGAGACACACCATGTCAACGGTTACTAAAATATGTTTATTTTAACCAAACAATTCAAATTAGCCAAATCAAATGAAGTGCAACAATAAGTAAAGCATGAGGTGTGGACGTCAGTGGTATCAGTAGTGTAAATGCAGGGTGAGGGTTGCATGGGCGTGTATGTGTGAGGGTGTTGAGGTACAAAGTAAAGCAACTAAAGTAACAACAGCATATACTCAACAAAACCGGAGGCCTGTAGGGAAAAGCAGAGAGAGCACAGAGAGGAGCAGAGAGGCTTTAAATAGCTGCAGGACACCAGACCCAGGTGCCCTGAGTTACTGCAATCAACACAGCCCAGACAGGACAGCCACACCCTCTCTAATGAAATTAATGCCATCAAAGAGGATTTTCCGAATGTAATCCAGGAGGAAAAGAAGACTTTAAGTCCTGCACATGAGTATTCGCCATCCGTGTTGGCCCCGGTGCCTACTTTATCACATCAGAAACAATGCGGGTTAAGTTGATGATTGTGAGTGGATGAAGACAAAACAATCTAGTGAAATAAGGGCACCCTCCCTGTTTCTTTTGGA